CAATTTCCATAATTCTAATTTTATCTAATACTAAAAATCTACTCTAGCCCACCAATATCTTTATTGTTTTTCTGAATACATCACGTCACATGGAGTTAACTTCCTCCATGACATCTTAGGTAGCATTCTAAAAACTCTAACATACTAAACTGTATGTCTATTTCTTTCTTTATAAGTAACTATTTCCCTAATTAGTTTAGGTGTGTACTTTTAGATCATGAATTAAGGACAGAAGCTATTATTACTTTTAAAAATTTAACTTCTACCTCCAAAAGTCAGCATTAGATGAACTTCAAGGAATTTGAGCTCCCCAGTTTTTGAGAAGGAGAGAAAAACATGCAACCAGGCAAAACCTTCCAGGAATATGATGTTATGCTTTCTGGACCTAGTTAGTGCCCTATATAGTCAAAGAGGCAGAAAAGCTTTTTTGTTTGTTTTTATTTTTTATTTTATTTTTTTAGAAAGAGCATGGGCATGAAAGCAGGGGAGAGAGGGAGAGAGAAATCTTAAAGGCTTGATCTCACGACTCTGAGATCATGACCTAAGCCAAAATCAGGAGTTGGACATTTGACTGACTGAGCCACCCAGGATCCCCTTGTTTGTTTTTAAATAACGAAAAAAAATTACTGAAGACAACTTATGGCATCTAAAATTTAATTTAATCAGCCTCACTTTCAAAGTTATTACTACACCAGCAGATTGTGCCTTCTGTAATGCTTCATTTTTGCCTGTTTCTCACAGACTGAAAAACTGGCTAATGTCCATGTTTAGGCCAAGTCCTGTTCCCTTTCACATGCTAATTTATTTCTTGCCTGGACAAGAGTTTCCAAATATAAACCCATTTCACATTTTATAAAATAAAGAATTTGAGCAGTAGTAGAGAACGGGAAGTTGGGAAGCTTTATCCTTCAATGGCAGGTTCTGCTTGGCACAATTTCAAGTTATATTCTGGAATACCTGTGTATGTTCTGGTTTTCTTCAGCAACCCAAAAATATGTTCATCAAATCAAGATCTAAATGGGTCATTTCAATTTATTAATATAGGACCTGTCTTGTTCCAGAATCTAAAAAAACGTACTGATTAGATTTTTTAAAAGATTATTTATTTATTTATTTATTTATTTATTTGACAGGCAGAGATCACAAGCAGGCCGAGAGGCAAGCAGAGGGGAGGGGGAGCAGACTCCCTGCTGAACAGAGAGCCCAATGGGATGCCTGCCTCCATCCCAGGACCCTGAGATCATGACCTGATCATGACCTGACAAGGCAGAGGCTTAACCCACCGAGCCCAAGCAGGCACCCCTGTACTGGTTAGATTAAAATTACAAACAAATGTACTGTTAGGGTTGTGTCACTTATTACTTTGAATATACATGTGTATTTGAATATAGTAGGTGGTATTTCTACTAGAATCTACTTCATTTCCAGGATTCTGAACCCTAATGGTGAGCATAAGTGGATTACAATTCATTAAAAGATAAAGAAATCTTTTCTTTTTCTTGCAAAAGGCTGAGTTCACTGACAGAAATAATTAACATTATACTTACTTTCACATAAACATAGCTTAAGTTTTGAGGACCAGAGACAACGTAGTAATATGCTAACATTTCATTTCCAAGCTTTATTCTCGTTTTAAATGTTCTCAAACCATATTTTCCTTCATCCCTTTCTAGTAACTTCTTGTACACATGGTAATTCTTTTTTTTTTTTTTTTTTAAGATTTTATTTATTTATTTGACACAGAGAGAGAGATCACAAGTAGACAGACGGGCAGGCAGAGAGAGGGGGAAGCAGGCTCCCTGCTAAGCAGAGAGCCTCATGCTGGGACTTGATCCCAGGACCCTGACATCATGACCTGACCTGAGCCAAGGCAGAGGCTTAACCCACTGAGCCACCCAGGTGCCCCACACATGGTAATTCTTTAATAAACATCCTTTCAATGAATGTGAACTTCATTATTATGCTACCTTTGACCCTCATTATCTCAAAAAACTAGGTTGTTTTGTTTTCTTGTTTTATCAGTAACAGACAAACCACAGTAGAGTATTAAAATTGAGTATTTTCTAGAATCAAATCATTACCCACCATTCTTCAATGTATATCTGAGAAGTTTTTTTGTTTTTTTTTGTGTTTTTTTTTTTTAAGATTTTATTTATTTATTTGCGAGAGAGAGAGAGAGAGAGAGAGAGCGCGAGCGAGCACTGGCAGGCAGAGTGGCAGCAGAGGCAGAGGGAGAAGCAGGCTCCCCGCCGAGCAAGGAGCCCAATGTGGGACTTGATCCCAGGATGCTGGGATCATGACCCAAGCCGAAGGCAGCCGCTTAACCAACTGAGCCACCCAGGCGTCCCTATCTGAGAAGTTTTTAAAAATTTAATTTTATTTAAAGTCAATTAATTAACATATAGGATATTATCAATTTCATAGGTAGAGTGCAGTAATTCATTAGTTTTATGTAACACCCAGTGCTCATTACATCACATGCCCTCCTTAATGCCCATCACCTTGTTACCCCATCCCACCTTCCCCTCCAACAACCCTCAGTCTCTTTCCTTTGGTTAAGAGTATCTGGGCGCCTGGGTGGCTCAGTCCTTAAGCATCTCCCTTCAGCTCAGGTCATGATCCCAGGGTCCAGGGATCAAGCCCTGCATAGGGCTCCCTGCTCAGCGGGGAGCCTGCTTCTCCCTTTCACACTCCCCTTGCTTGTATTCCCTCTCTTGCTGTCTCTCTCTGTCAAATAAATAAATAAAATCTTAAAAAAAAAAAAAAGTCCCTTATGGTTTCTCTCCCTCTGATTTCACCTTGTTTTATTTTTCCCTCCCTTCCTCTATGCTCTTCTGTTTTCTTAAATTCCACGAGTGAAATTATATGGTATTTGTTTTTCTCAGACTGACTTATTCCCCTTAGCATAATACCCTCTAGTTCCATCCATGTCACTGCAAGATATCTTTTTTTTTGATGGCTGAATAATTAATATTCCATTGTGTATACATATCATATTTTCTTTAACCGCTCATCTGTCCATGGACATCTGGGCTCTTTCCATAGTTTGGCTATTGCAAACATGGAAAACCTTTTTTAGAAGATATTCATAGATGCTAAAGATGTAGCAAAAATAAGTCAGCATTATTACCTCAAAATATACTAGGTTAAACTTAAATATGGGATGCCGGGCTGGCTCAGTCGGTTAAGCATCTGCCTTCAGCTCAGGCTGCGATCCCAGTCCTGGAATTGAGTCCCACATTGGGCTCCTTGCTCTCCCTCTGCCTGCCACTCCCCTGCCTGTCTCTCTCTCTGACAAATATATAAAATCTTTCTAAAAAACAAAAACAACCAGGGCGCCTGGATGGCTCAGCTGGTTGGGCAACTGCCTTTCATTCAGGTCATGATCCTGGAATTCCAGGATCGAGTCCCACATTGCACTCCCTGCTCAGCAGGGAGTCTGCTTCTCCCTCCAACCTTCCCCCTCATGCGCTCGCTCGCTCTCTCTCTCAAATAAATAAATAAAATCTTAAAAAAAACCAAAAACTTAAATAGCCGCCTTAATTGCTGACAAGACTATATTGTCTTTTAAAATAATTATCAGTTCCTTTATTAGAAATATTCAATTTTCAAAGGAGTGTTTTTATTTTCCTGGAAACTGTAGTTACATTAAACCATTTGTTTTCCCTCTACTAACTTCTCAAGTAGTATTCTAGATGACAGCAAATACAAACATCATTACACAATCACAATAGAAAGGACGTGTCTTGGGCACTTTACTGGCTCAGCTGATTAAGTGTCTGCCTTCAGCTCAGGTTATGATACCAGATGCTGGGATCAAGTCCCACATTAGGCTGCCTGCAGGGAGCCTGCTCCTCCCTCTCCCTCTGTCCCTCCCCTCCATTCAGCTTGCGCTCTCTCACACACTCCCTCTCTCTCAAAATAAATAAATAAAATCTTTAAAAAAAGAAAGAAAAAGAGAAGATGTGTCTTTCTTTCATTTTTATTTAAGTTAATCTCTACACCCAACATGGGGCTCAAATTCACCCATGACTCACACACTCTTCTGAATGAGCCAGCCAGGCACCCCAAGGATATGTATTTCTAATCTCCAGAGCAGGTACTTCAAACCTGAATTCCACTAACCCCATTAAGGATTCATTCAGCTGAGCAAAATAAAAGCCTGCATCTAATAGAGTGAACTGATAAAGGTAACATTGGAAGCAATTTGAAGTATTTTGATTATATCCAAAAGAGGGTAAGAAAGTCCTCCAAGTCAATAAAGACACCACCTGTTTCATTTAACTTATGGCATTTAAGAGAATTTGGGGGGCACATGGTTAGCTCAGTCAGTGGAGTGTACAACTCTTGATCTTGAACTTGTGAGTTCAAGTCTAGAGCTTACTTTTAAAAATTTAAAAAAAATTTTTAAAAATAAAAAAAACCCACAGAATTTTGGAAACCATAATTTTAAGTTATATAAACATATACTTCCTGAATACAAAGGAAAATTATTCTGCTTAAATTTGTAGAAATCATCTTACTAGCCCTTAAAATCACAAACATTTTGTTCCCTATCATTTGTGTGGTCAAAATTTATGATTTAGTACACAAAAGTCAATGGCCAATTTACATAAACCTGTGATATCATGATTTATATGCTATATTCCATCACAGCTTCTGGCTAACCATTCCTATATCAGAACAGACATGTAAGAGTTAGGAGGAGTTAGGAGCACCTCTTTGGTGCCACAGATTCCTTTGACAATTTGGTAAAACCTGTCATTATTCTTGTCAGAATGATGTTTTTAAATGCATAAAATACAAACATACAATTGTCAAAATATATTTTTAATTGACATGTGTTTTTAAAAATAACAAGTTAGATAAGATCTAGTAGTTGGTCTAATAAGCACAGTAACTTTAAAGTAATGATGAGTTTAAACAATTTCAAGTTGGCTGCAACCACTGTATCATATGAAAATTTCTACTGATGAGAAAGTCACAGGTACTGTAAAACTACTCATTGCTTGTTGCCTACATTCATAGTTGGAATAACTAGATTTTATGTAGAAGTTAATGAGAAGATGTAATTTTTTTTCTTCCGCAAGTTCAGAGACCCCCTGAATTCCATTGACCATGGAAGACCAATCTGCAGATCCTAGGTTAAAAACCGCTGATAGGGGAAGAGAAGAGAGTTAATAAAGTAAAACCTCTGAGCCTCAAAACTATATAAGGCAACTTTGAAAAGCCCTGTTAGAAGTACAGTTATCATGATGAACACTGAGTAATGTACAGAATTGTTCAATCACTATATTGTATATCTGAAACTCAAACACTGTTAAATGTATTAGATTAAAAAAAAAAAAAAAAAAAAGCCCTGCTGCTATCCAACACAGTTTAACACACTAGAGCAGTATTATCAAGCTTTCATTCACTCAATAATTTTGGTGATTTACACAGTAAGAGCAAAATCAAAGGGAAGAAATATTTTTCAACAAGACACAAATGATCAAATATGTAGCTTACAATGCTTGTACATTTTGAGAAACTTCTCCTTTATATGAAGGCTAAGTCATTGTAATCACATCAGATTAGATTTAACAATACTAAGAGCTGAGATTAGTAACATAGTAGTAGTACGGACAACCAAAAGAGCTGGACCCTGCTTCTTCTGCATAAGTGGTCAGTTGTACTCCTCAACAGCTTAGCCCCTGAGCCAGTCTCCCTTTTGGTTGATGTGAACTCCTGCTGTCACTGTGTGTACTGTGACCCCAGAAGAGAAATCAACATTTCCTTAAGATCAGCATTGCTGGGGGGCGTCTGGGTGGCTCAGTGGGTTAAAGCCTCTGCCCTCGGCTCAGGTCATGATCCCAGGGTCCTGGAATGGAGCCCCGCAGCGGGCTGTCTGCTCAGCAGGGAGCCTGCTTCCTCCTCTCTCTCTCTGCCTGCCTCTCTGCCTACTTGTGATCTCTGTCTGTCAAATAAATAAATAAAGTCTTTAAAAAAAAAAAAAAAAGATCAGCATTGCTGGGGCACCTGGGTGGCTCAGTGGGTTAAGCCTCTGCCTTCAGCTCAGGTCACGATCCCAGAGTCCTGGGATGGAGCCCCTCGAGCCCCGCAAGCCCCGCAAGCCCCACAAGCTCCACAAGCCCCACAAGCCCCGCGTAGCATCGGCTCTCTGCTCAACAGGGAGCCTGCTTCCCCCCCACCCCCCCAGTCAAATAAATAAGTAAAATCTTAAAAAAAAAAAATCATCATTGCTGTTTCATTACTTCTTTATAGGACACAAGGCTCAAACACCTCAACTATACTAAACTTGGCATATAGATAATTATAAAATGGATCCTATGACCGGGCAAAGAGAAAAAATAAATTACAGGGAAAAAAGCATGGAGAAAAATTTCAGTTTGTCAGTGCAAGTTAAAGGAAGAATAACATACAACTCAGAAGGGTAACTCGGGAGTCATATACTGAAGACTTTATCCAGACAAATATTAAATTTGGTAGGCACTAGAAAACCATGAGAAAATTTTGATTAGAGAAATGACATGATCAGAACTGGTAGGACACCAGTTATGGTCGAATAATCTTCAACAAAGCAGGAAAAAATATACAGTGGAAAAAAGACAGTCTCTTTAATAAATGGTGCTGGGAAAACTGGACAGCTATGTATAGAAGAATGAAACTCGACCATTCTCTTACACCATACACAAAGATAAACTCGAAATGGATAAAAGACCTCAACATGAGGCAGGAATCTATCAAAATCCTAGAGATCATAGGCAGTAACCTCTTCAACATTGGCCACAGCAACTTTTTTCAAGACACGTCTCCAAAGGCAAAAGAAACAAAAGCAAAAATGAACTTTTGGGACTTCATCAAAATCAAAAGTTTCTGCACAGCAAAGGAAACAGCCAACAAAACAAAGAGGCAACCCACAGAATGGGAGAAGATATTTGCAAATGACACTACAGACAAAGGGCTGATATCCAACATCTATAAAGAACTCCTCAAACTCAACCCTCAAAAAACAGATAATCACGTCAAAAAATGGGCAGAAGACATGAACAGACACTTCTCCAAGGAAGACATACAAATGGCTAACGACACATGAAAAAATGTTCATCATCATTAGCCATCAGGGAGATTCAAATCAAAACCACATTGAGATACCACCTTACACCACTTAGAATGGCCAAAATTAACAAGACAGTAAAAACGAGTGTTGGAGAGGATGTGGAGAAAGGGACACCCTCTTACGCTGTTGGTGGGAATGTAAGTTGGTGCAGCCACTTTGGAAAACAGTGTGGAGATTCCTTAAGAAATTAAAAATACCCTATGACCCTGCAATTGCACTACTGGGTATTTACCCCAAAGATACAGCTATAGTGAAAAGAAGGGTTATCTGTACCTCAATGTTCATAGCAGCAATGGCCACAGTTGCCAAACCATGGACAAAACCAAGATGCCCTTCAACAGACGAATGGATAAAGATGTGGTCCATATATACTATGGAGTATTATGCCTCCATCAAAAAGGATGAATACTCAACTTTTGTATCAACATGGATGGGACTGGAGGAGATTATGCTGAGTGAATTAAGTCAAGCAGAGTCAAGTATCATACGGTTTCACTTACTTGTGGAGCATAAGGAATAACATGGAGGACATGGGGAGATGAGAGAAGTGAGCTGGGGGAAACTGGAGGGGGCGACAAACAATATGAGACTGTGGACTCTGAGAAACAAATTAAGGGTTTTGGAGGGGAGAGGGGTGGGGATTGGGTGAGGCTGGTGGTGGGTATTAAGGAGAGCACGTACTGCATAGAGTACTGGGTGTGGTGCATAAACAATGAATTTTGGAACACACACACAAAAAAATTAAATTTTAAAAAAGGATCTGGTAGAACACCATAGAACAGACTGGAGAAGGGGAATGGCAATGATCGGAGGTACAAGGCCACAGCAACAATCATAGCAGCAGCCAAAACTAGGGAATAATGATAAAATGAAAAGTGGGGTTGGTAGGGGGAGAGAATGGACACAAGAGATAACAAAGAAGAGAAACTCTGGCACATAGTTGCATTTGGTAGGGCAGCGGGCCCACTAGGGAAGTGTTAAGATGACTCAGAGGTTTTAAGCCTAACTACCTGAAAGAATGTAGTCAGAAGAAAAGACTAGGTTTGGGGGATGAAGGCAAGTTGAGAACAGGCAGAAATAATGAACCTCAGGCAACATTTTAAGTATGAAATGCCCAAGCGATAACTATAAAAGCAGATCATGGATAAGAGTAATCAATCTCTGTACTTAAGGAATTTTAAATCTATATTCCAGTTACAGCTTGAGATTTAGATTTGGTAGTGATTCTACCAGAAATTCCCCAAAAGCTATGGGAACAGATAAACTGAAAGAGCAGAGAAGACCAAAAGAGACCCTATCAATGTAAGAACAGAAATTCTAAATATTCCAAATACTAAAAACCATTTGAAATGTTCATATCAAGTGCTAAAAACATTTTAACAAAATACCGGCTTTTAAAGAGGATATATCTTGATACATTTAAATACATTTCTCCAGGGGCGCTTGGGTGGCTCAGCCGGGTTAAGCATCTGCCTTAGGCTCAGGTCAGGATCCCTGGGATGGAGTCCCACATCCCCATGTCAGGCTCGTGGCTCCGTGGGAAGCCTGCTTCCCCCTCTCCCTCTGCCTGTCACTCACCCAAGTTGTGTGCTCTGTCAAATAAGTAAATAAAATCTTTAAAAATACATACATACATACCTCCAAAAAAGATAGTGTCTCAATACATATGATATTCTATTAAAACACACAAACTTTGGGGCACCTGGGTGGCTCAGTCATTAACCATCTGCCTTTGGCTCAGGTCATGATCCCAGGGTCCTGGGATGGAGTCCCGCATTGGGCTCCCTGGTTTCCCTGCTAGGCAGGAAGCCTCCTTCTCCCCCTTCCCCTCCCCCTGCTGTGTTCCCTCTCTCTCAGTCTCTCTGTCAAAAAAAACAAAAACAAAAACAAACACACACAAACTTTAACTTGCCCTTAGTATTCAAAAATCACTTAGAGGAAGGTAGTTAAAAGGTAGCAAATTTCCAATTATAAGTACTAGATATGTTAAGGTAAAGCATGATGACTATAGTTAACATTATTATATTATATATAGGAAGGTTAAGAGAGTAAATTCTGAGTTCTCTTTGAAAGGAAAAAAATTTTTTGCTTTTTATTTTATCTCATGAGCTGATGGATGATAACTAAACTTATTTGTGGCAATCATTTCATAATATATGTTAGTCAAGCCATCATGCTATGTATCTTAAACTTACACAGTAATGTCAATTATATCTCAAAATAAAACTGGGGGGAAAACCCCTATTTTCTATAGAGGTATTCTAGTTAATCAATTAGGAAGGAATGTTAGAGAAGGGTGCTTGGTTGGCTCAGTCAGTTAAGCGCCTGCCTTCCCTGCCTTCCGCTCTGATCCTGATACCAGAGTCCTGGGATCAGCCCCGCATCAAGCTCTCTGCTCTGCGGGAAGCCTGACTCTCCTTCTCCCCCTGCTTGTGTTCCCTCTCTCTGTGTCAAATAAAATCTTTAAAAAAATAAATAAATAAAAAGATTTTATTTATCTGAGAGAGAGAAAACAAGCAGGGGGAGCAGCAGGCAGAGTGAGAAACAGGCTACCCACTGAGCAGGGAGCCACATGTGGAACTTGATCCCATGACCCTGGGATAACAACCTGAGTCAAAGGCAGATGCTTAACCGACTGAGCCCCTAGGCATCCCTAAATAAATAAAATCTAAAAAAAAAAAAAAAAAAGGAATATGAGAGAATTAAAGGCCATTTGCAAGCCACTAGTGAAGAAATGGAGCCACACCATTAATTTAGCAGAGTCAGTGATAACCAAAGGCCTCCTGATGGAAATATACATCATCACCTATGAATTATATTTGTTCTTTCCTCCACACTGTTCCTACTCTCAGAAATCAAACCTGAACTGATCTAAGCATGCTTGAAGTCTTCAAACTAGCTACTAATTTATAGGATATACAGGGAATCAAGGGATATGCTGAACTAAAACATGTTAAAACTATTCCTGAGGGACATATTCAACAAAATCCAGAATGAGGGAAACCAGGAAAAATAACCCGGTTCCTTCAGCAAATCAATTATGAGAAATGACAAAGGGGGAAACTGCAGATTAAAAGATATAGCAACCAAAGGTAATGTGTGACTGTGTTTGGATTCCAAATCAAACAAACCAATTACTTAAAAGCAACCTGGAGTGGGGTGGTGCCTGGGTGGCACAGTTGCTTGAACACCCAACTCTTGGTTTTGGTTCAGGTCACCATATCAGGGTAGTAAGATGGAGTCGGAGACAGGCTCCATCGTCCACACTCAGCATGGAGTCTGCCTGACTTCTCTCTCTGCCCCTCTCTACATGGTTTCTCTCTCTCTCAAATAAACATTTAGATCTTAAAAAATTGAAAAACAAACAAACAAAAAACCCTAGGGGTACAATGCGTGGCTGGCTCAGCCACTAGAGCATGTGACTCTTGATCTTGGGGTCTTGAGCTCAAGCCCTGTGTTGGGTGTAGAGCTTACTTAAAAAAAAAAAACACACACACAAAAAAAAAAAACAAAAAAAAAAGCCAACTGAGGGAAATTTGAATACTGCTTGGTTATTTGGTTATGTTCATTTTTATAGATGAGACAATAGTATGTGGTTATGATTTCCTGGAATGCTATCTTTTAGAGATACACTTAAATATTCGTAGACAAATTAATTATACACATATGATTTGCTTCCGAATAACCCAGCAGGTGTAGGGAAGTAGAAAAGGGATAGATAAAACACTGGCTCTCAACTGTGTTTGAAACTTTTTGATAGAAGTTTGTTTAGAGGGGAATAAATAAGAAAAAAAAAATCACTATCAATAACACCAACAGAACTACAACGAGGACAGGAATGGATTTGTTTTATTTCCTAGACTGACAACCTGAGCAGCCCTGGGCTAATCATACAATGTCTTAATTGCCCTCACTGGTTAAATGGAGACAAATACCATCTGGTAAACCCACAAAATCGTATTTGGTCAAGTTGGAAGGTTGGAGATACTTTTAACTTTGGCTGCCCTAGTTTCCCACATCTGTGTGATCCCCCCTCTCATGTCCTCCCACTACTGTCCATCACTGTGGTCTCACACACTCCCAAAAGCCTCCCTCAGCCTGTTCCCACATTGTATACAGAGTGAAGTTCCTAAAAAGCAAAATACGATCCTCAACTCCACTTCAAACCCTTAAACTGCTTTTGATTAGCTTCAAGGCAAGAGTGCTTCCTTAAATTTTTAAGGTAGTCCCTTCCTTAATTCTTTAAAATGACTTATAAGGCATTCCATTAAGGCATTCCATTATCTGATATTATCTATCTCTCCAACTTCCACCTCTCCCAAATTTCCCTTCTCCCTCTTATGCTTTAGCTTTGCTAAATTCTTGCAGTTTTTCCAACGTACCCTGTACTCTGGAGCTTCAGCATTCATGGCTGGAATGCTTTTTCCACCATCACTTCCTGGCTTAGTTAGCTCCTAACCATCAAGTTTAAAAAGTTAAGTAGCATTTCCTCACAGAAGCCTACCCAGATTGCTTCTATACTAGGTTGGGTGTCTTCGCATAAGTACAGAATACACCATTTTGTTCCCCAGGAATCTGTACTTTCTCTATCATAACACTCAGTGTTTCTTTATAAAGAGTACTTGTAGTAATCATTGTTACCAGTCTATCTGCTCTTCAGTTAAACTACAAACTCTAGGAGGAACAGGGCCAGAACCTGTTTATTGCTGAAACCTAAGTCTCTCATAGTGCCTAGCAGCTGATAACAAATTGCTGAATACATAAATACCCACAACTCTCTGGTTTGTTTTTCTCACATCCAAGTTCCATCTTCCTAATCTTCATCTGCAACAAAAACAGACTGACCATATAGGCATTTACAGGGACCTAAATCCTAGACAGGGATGCATTATAAAGTGGACTGAAAACACAATGGGAATGAAGGACATAAATTGGGCAAAAGCTACTCAAATATCTATTTTTAGTATAAAATAATTTATATCCATATTAACAATTTTACAGAAAGCTCAAGAGTGCCGATCTGATTAATAGGAGTCAAAAGACATTAATTACCACACAAACAACTTTTCACATCTAAGATGTTAAGTCACTTAACTTCTCCAATTTCAATTTCCTAATCTGTAAAATAAGGGAATCTGACAAGCTGGTCATTAAGATCTTTTCCAGGGTTAATGTTATATGCATTAATATTTAGAAGACAAAAAGACATGTAAACTATTCAAACACTATCAAATGGTTTCAGCCTATGACCTTTTTATCCTTTTCAAAAAATCTGTTTAGGGATGTTATAGCCTATTATGTTAAGCTTACAACCAAACCTTTAAATCTATTCAGCTATAAAAATCTCACAAAATCTCTCCAGACCATTAACTTATATATTTAACAAGAGTCACTGCAATACGATTAAAGAACAGCATTTATCTAAACCCTAAATTACTCAATTATGTTAAACTCTGAAATAAAACTTACCCATTACCTGTATTAAAGCCTAGATATCTTGAATTCCTGATATTTCCTATGGCAATTTTAAGGCAAAGTTGTACTTCTCAGCCTAAGACTTGGACTTATGGGCACTACTTAACGCCATGCTAAAAAGCTGAAGATACGCAGTCTCTAATTCACTCACAGCTCTGGTAAACGACACTGACATTGTTTATTAATGCCTAATTCCTAGTCATACTCTTCCAAACTTTCACACAATACTGAGTTCACCCCATCACGACATTCCACTAGTTACTAAGCCCATATTTGTTTTATCATGGCACTGACATGTGCGCATTTTATTTCGAAACCGGAATAACTTTTGGGAAATAAAAAAAACATTTCAAAACTAGTTATGGTAAAGGGTAGCTCTGTAAACATTCTACTGTTATCAGTAGGCGCCTAGCTCGTAAGCAAACGCTGCAAACCGGCTCAAGCAGAAATCGGTTTGTTTCTTGGTTGAAAATAATTACAAAGTGGTTTGGGCCAGTGCTCGTCACACCAAACAAGTCGTGACAAAGAAATGAAATGCTAAAATGCACGTGGAAGAAAAGGATGTACTTGGAACAAAACGCGTGCATCTGACCAAGTGTAACGCTATCCTTCAGATCCCTCCCAACAGGGCTGCCTTCAAGACCAGGAGCGCGAGGGCGCTCCAGTCGAGATTCGGCAGCCACAGGTTGAATGACAAAGAGTCCCCGTCAGCACCAGTCCCCGCGTCGGCCAGCTGCACTATTCCCTCCGCAAAGTCCACTCGAACCCTGCAGTCACGTCTTGGCTGCGGGGACTGCGGCTTCCCAAACCACCCTCGCAAGTCACCAGGTGGGGCAAGGATTGGCTGGCCGAGGCTGGGGCAGGCATGCCACGAGTCCAAAATAACTCCCGCCCCGAGTCCCTTCCCTCCGAGCAGAACGCGGCCAGGAGAGCGGGGAGGCACCACGTGAGCCAGCCCCACGTCGTCCCTTTTCCAAATCAAAAGCATCTCTTGAGGAGACTCCTGAACGCTAGGGGAAAAGCTACTTCCCCAAGGTCACCGGCATCCAAACCCAATTCCCCGGCCAGGCCGGTGGCCCGCACCTGACTACGGGGCCGCAGCCCCGCCGGGCGAGGGAAGGCACTGTCCCCATCGCCTCAAGGTCTCCTTCCCCAACGCCGCGTTCCGAAGCTACGCGGCTGCCCGCGGCCACGATGCCCCTGCCGGGCCGCCTTCTTCCCCCGAGACCCAGGTCTGCGCCCCAGTCCCGAGGCCCCCTCCCACCCGCCAGGGCGGCAGGGGCACCGCGGGGTCCGCGCCCAGCGCCGCCGCGGGCCGTTACCCAACTAACCGTTATGCGCGGTTCGCGCCGCCAAGCGTGTACGTGACACGGCTGGAGTCCCGCAAGGCCCAGGGTCCAGGTCGCGTCCTTCGCCAGCTACCTCGTTCGCTCGCTCGGGCACCCACGCGGCCGACAAGTCACGTCGCAGCTCGCCAGCACTTTGTCGGGCCGGGCCCGCGGGGCTGCCTTATAATCCGCCGGGGCCCGAGCATGCGCACAGGGGGCGGAGTCGGCCCTCCCGGCCGCCGCCCCCTCCCCCCCCCATACATACGCCCGAACCGCGACTCGCGCCTCCACACGCTCTCAGGCGCGCGCGCCCGCCCGCGCTGTGGCGCGCGCCGGGGCCCCCTCCCCGCCACGTGACCGGCGGCCCGGCAGGACCCGCGCCCTGCGCCCCCACTCTGCGGCGTCCACAGGGCTGCTGCGCTCCTCTGCGGAGCTTGCCCCTCGGGTCCTCAGTCCAAGGAGTTCGCGGTGACCTACACGCGTGCGGGACTTCGGCGTCGGCCTCCCCCTCAGTCTCTGGCAGAGAAAAGGGAAAAACCGCCAAGGACGGATGGGGCGTACCCCCGGGGGCCTGACTCAGGTGTGGGGGGCGACCGGCGCGGGGAGGAGCGGGGAAGCGACTGGAAGTGGAGGGACTGGGCAGGGTGTGAACGGACGCGCGGCCACCTCGGGCCCGGGAAGAGGCCGAAGGGGCGGGCTGCGGCCTCAGCAGAGATCGGTGAACTCAGGGAAGTCACTCAAACCCTCAGGGCCTGTTTCCTGTTCTCTAAAAAGGCAACCGTAGTAGAACCGACTTCCTGGGCACTTTTGGTGGTTTTGGGGAGAGAACTGATGCAACTTTCTTAATACAGAGCGTCCCCTGCGGCATTTGATGAAGGCTGGGCGTTAAACGCCGAAGTCGGGAAAGCAGAGCAGGTCAGAGGGTGGTGAGACTGGTCCCCGGGGAGGTGCGTATGTTGGAAACACGGAGAAATGAGAATGCAGAGGCCAAGTTTTTGTGGACACAGAATGTTGGGGACAGGGTATAAATAAAGCTAGCAATTTTGAGGAACTGATTATGTACTTAGCAGTTCGCCTGAATTATCACCATAGCCTTATGAGGTAGGTAACTTCTTAACATTTCACAAATAAGGGGCTTGAGGCTCAGAGAGGTTAAGTAACTTTGCAGAGGTCACAGAGAAAGTGAGCAACATCCAAAGTCAGACTCCAGAGTCTGATTTTGTTTTCACAGCCGTTGTAGGTTCTTGAGCAAGACCAGACACTGGAGTGTATCAGTTTAGGTGATGAGGTTGAATAATCATGAGGTGTTTCTTATGTTGGCTTATGGGAAATACCAAAAATGTATGAAGGCTCCTGCCTTCAAGGAGTTTACAAGTTCTTTGGAGGGATTGAGTGAGGCAGAAGAAATCAACCAACATTTGAGGACCACTTGCCGTTGGCCCCAACCCTGCCCCCTCTGCCCTTAATGCTCACCACCCTGTGAGGTTGGCCTTAAGGTTTTGTGTTGCAAAAGAAGAACTGTGATTGAGGAGTGGGGATTGAGGGATCAGGTTCTGAGATGCAAATGTGCTTTTCCTTCACCCACTGTGCCTGCTTCACACAAAAGAAAGTTTTCCGTAATAGTTCAACACCTCAGAAGGCTGTACAGAATCTATCGCCAGACAGTGCATATGAGCAGTAACTGCTTTTCACCTTTGATAAATGCAGAGAATTACAGCAGGGCTTTAGGATTGCTAGGGTGGTAGCAGCATTCATGGTAGATGATAGGAGGACGGATTTGGGGAGACAAAATGGCACTGGTTCAGACATGGGCCTATCAGGCACAGAACTGTAGAATGTAGTAGGAAGCAGTAGAATAAGTTGATTCCCAGGAAACCCGAAAAAAGGGCTTATATAGGAACAAAGTACCATAGATTTATAATATCAACCCATGTCTCAGTTCCAGTTTTGATACTTTGCACTTACAAGCTCTGTATCCTTAGGCAAATTATTTTGCTCTCCAAGCCTTATTCTGTGCTCTGTAAAACAAGGATAATACCTACCTCATAGGGTTTTTATGATAACAAAAATAGTATTTTACTTAAGTGTCTGGCATATAGTGAGCATTAAATAATTGTATAGTCATGGAAAACCATGAAACTCAATCCTTAAGATTAATCCTAAAAGCACTTCACTTTAGACCCCCTTTCAGGGCCCTAAGAGGAACCCTAACAGTGTGTTCACAGGATTATGTTAGTGCTTTATTGTAATTTTGTATTGCTTTTCTTGAAAATGTCCACCAAAATTGTATAAACCTCAGGCTCCACAAATCTGGATCTGCTCCTACTAGGAACGGTAATGTTGTGGAAAGAGTATAGATTTTGGAATCAGAGGGTTTGTTTCCATAACTTACTATCTGTGTCACTTTGGACAATTCATTCATTGAACTCTTCTGGGCAGGCCAGGTAAACTGAATATAATAGCTACCAGCCTGAGCTATTAAGATAATAATCAAGTAAGAGTATTTGCAGAAGGGGTTGGTAAATTTTGGAAAGCACTCTACAGGTGTTTGTGATTAATAATATAATTTGTTCATAAGGTGCATAAGAGGGAAAGATCAAAAGCAAGAGAAAGGTTCTCAGCCTAAAAGTAGAAATAGGATGGGTGAGCTGGCAAAACTGATGAAATGATACAGGTAGAAATCTTGGTTTTCTCCAGATTTTTTCCTGATTAATTCATGAGACACTGAAGAAATAAACTAGTAAGCACAGGATCCAAAATTTAGAGCTGAGAGGAGGTTTTACAGAATGGAAATTAAGGCCCAGAGGAGCTAATTATTCTGAGGCCACTCGTCTAATAAATGGTATGATCAGAAGAACCAGCTCTCCAGGCCCTAGGTTTTTCTACTGTACCAAGTGTGTTGTTATTTGTTTATTTGTTTGTTTGTTTGTCTTTTGGGTTTTGTTTTTTTTTTTGAAAGGCTGTCCTTTTTTTGCCCTTAAGTTTTTATTTATTTATTTAAGAAAGAGCACCGGCAAGATTGAAGGAGTGGGAGGAGCAGAGGAAGAGGGACAAGCAATTCTGCAATGAGGGCACAGGCTGGATCCCAGGACCTGATCATGACCTGAGGCGAGATCAAGAGTTGGTCACTCAGCAAACTGAGCCACCCAGGCACTCCCCAAGTGTGGTTTTTTAAGATAAAAGCGTTTCACCACGGAGTCTTTCAAAATCATTATCTCAAAACCAAGAAGGCATGATGCTCTTTAGTGGCTTTCGGCTTTAGCATGAAATTCCCCAAATTCACTTTCCTGTTTTAGAGGCTGATAGACTGAATGATCCATGGGTAATCTGCTCTTGGCAAGCTTGTAAAGTGAGCAAAACTTCTAAAGATTCTAAGGTAAGAGTTTTAACCTCGGAAATTAGTAATGGGATGAGAAATGCAAATGCAAAAAGTTGGAAAATTTGTAACGATTAGTTATTATTTAAGCTGAGTGAGTTACCCAGTTGCTTTATCTAGAAAAGGAAAATAATAAAATTAGAGTGTATTTTCTCTGGAATTCCAATACTTCACTTACATTCTCTTAATTATTCCACCATTTCTGTGGTGGAAGATGGTGTTATCCTCATTTCACTAACACCAAACAAAGCAAGAAGGGGTTTTTTTAAAAACACAGTAATACTTAATTAAGAATACTTCCCCATTTATAATTTGTAATAACTCAAAGGGGAATATGGAAAATGAAATTTGCTTTTGTACTATGTATGAAAAAAAGAGTTTGCTAAGCAAATACCTAGCATAAAGAAGATAATGTCAATGCTAAAATTAAAGTAGAGAACTCTTGGGCCACCCGGCTGGCTCAGTCAGTCCGTGGGGCATGTGACTCTTGATCTCCAGGTTATGAGTTTGTGCCCCATGTAGGACGTAGAGATTACTTAAAAATAAAATCCCGGGTACCTGGGCGGTGTAGTCAGTTAAATGTCTGACTCTTGGTTTTGGCTCGGGTCATGAAATCAAGCCCTGCATTAGGCTCTATGCTCAGCGCGGAATCTGTTTGAGATTCTCTCTCCCTCTCTCACTCATGCAATCGTGTGCTCTTTCTCAAAGAAATAATCTTTAAAAAAATATAATCTTTAAAAATAATGATAATGAACTCTTTCATTCAGAATATCTCATAGTTTATGTCCTTTATCAGTGTAGTCCTGCTGCATCCTAAGGGCCAAGTCTAGATCTAAGATGAATTTGCTACCCTTTGAAGGAAGACTAACTCAGTGTTGGTGAGATGTATTTCAGGCCTTGTCCGGAGCTCTCCCCATCTTCCCTTGGCCCTTCTTGCTCTGTTTTGACTCTTCACGTATCTCACCAGCCTGCAGTTTGGCATCCTAATCAGTTAGCTTCTTTGGCTCTTTGCTGGCAAGAGATGATTTGGTTAAAACAGTCAAAGCAAACTGCCGCATATGAAGGGAGCCTCAGCAATTTGGTAGAAAACAAAAATGCTCCCAATAGTAATTTCCTCAACATGCCACATTAGTCAAAAATGATTATATCCGGGGCGCCTGGGTGGCTCAGTGGGTTAAAGCCTCTTGCCTTCGGCTCAGGTCATGATCCCAGGGTCCTGGGATGGAGCCCCGCATTGGGCTCTCTGCTCAGCGGGGAGCCTTCTTCCTCCTCCCTCTCTCTCTCTCTGCCTGCTTGTGATCTTTGTCTGTCAAATAAAATCTTTAAAAAAAAAAAAAAAAGATTATATCCATCTGCTGACTTTTTGTGTGTTTGGTAGTTTTGGTGGCCAGAGATTTGCTTTTCTACTTCTTTGAGTCTTCGAGAATTTTTTTGTGAAAAAATATGTGTTTTTCAAGGAATCATACTGTCCTACATTTACTAGTACATATGTGCTAATTGTAATTACACATGTACTAATTATAATTACACGTGTACTAATTATGTGTACTAATTGTTTACTGCATTTTTTAATATTTGCAATGGCTTCGATAGTAAAGGACATTTACATTGGTTTTTAATAATTGTCTGAAATTGAGATTAAAAAGCCCCCAAATTTGGGGGAAGACCTAAAAAATTATGATAAACTCATGCTAATACTTAAAGACTTTAAAGTCTTAAGAGACTTAAAGACTTTAAAGGTTGCAAAACCATCCATGTGAGTAAAAAGTACCAAGAGTATTCCTTTTGACCTGTTTATCCTCTAATTCAGTTTGTTTCAAGCAAATTGCC